TGGGGGTAGTTTTCGTCCCGGACCCATGCTTGATGGTCCTCGGGCCGAGGGCGGGCCCGAGAGGCCGAAGTCGAGGAGACACGCCCAGACTGAAACAACAATAATCACGTCGTTGGAGATCTGGGCCCTCGTCTGCCCCCGAGGCCCCTGACAGGCCGCGTAGATGAGGTCCGAGTAGATGGGGTCGGAGGCTCGCGCCGCATCGGCGATGCATCGCTGATGCCTCGGCGATGCACCGGCGACGTCGGCGGTGCATCGGCGACGTCGGCGCTGAAGAATTCGGGATCTACGTCGAGCCGCATCGGCGATGCGTCGGCGATGCGGCGCCATCTTCCGACCACATCTGCTCGGACCCCATCTGAGAGGCCTGGATGGACTCAGCTCTCCGGCGATCCGTTCCTCAAATCTGGGCGTTTTCCCTCGGCTTCGGCCTCTGCAGCCCACTTTCGGGCCCCAGGGCCACCACAGTCGGGGCCTTGACCTAAGGAACCCCAAATAAGGAACGAGGCCCCATTTTTCCATAAGTGAAACGTCGACTCCCGATCGAAAACCTTAGGAAAACTGAAGGCAAGCTGCGAAGCACTAAAGTAACGCGGAGCCCCTCCCCAACGAAAAGGGTTCCTTCTTCAGGGCCCCGACTGGAAGAGAAGGTTTACGGAACACAACGCTGCCCCATGGGGAGGGGGGTCCAGAGCTCTGGGGCCGCGGACTGAGGAGAGTACCTCGGCGGTTGCCAAGGGGAGTCGCTGGTCGCCCGCGGGAGGAAGCACATTGATGGGCTTGTTTTCCACCACCACCACCATAAGTAGGAGTGGGAGGGGGTCCTCCTCCTCCTCTTCTTCTTCTTCTTCCTCCTCCTCCTCCTCCTTCACCTCCTTTCCCCCTCCAACTTATGGTGGTGGTGGTGGAAAACAAGCCAATCAGCACATGGGACGCGTTCGTCTTCTGCCACAGACGCACGCGCGCGCTCGTGCAGAGCACCGCCAGTGTGCCGCAGCCTGGGGCGCAACGTCTTCGCGGTCAGGAGGCTGAGTGCGAAGCTCCAGATGCCTGCAACCCTTCAAATCGCTGGCCCCTTCAACGCCGTTCTAGCATCCAGAGCCGCGGACGCATTCGCGCACGCGCGTGCAATTGCTGCACAGCATGGCTTCTTCTGTGGGCCTTGCGCCAGATAGCCAATCATAGTCGCCGTCAGATCCCTGAGAGCCCCCACTGGCGATCTGGAGCTAATGCAGAAGCTTTACCTCGTTTCCCTTAGTCGGCATTACTCTCAGAGCTTACCCGGTGTGTTTGCAAGGCCTTCCCCGCGATAGATGCTCTGCTCCTGCTCCATGTGGCCATTCCATCCTCGTGGTCCCCTGTGGTTTTGAGCTGACCTACTTTTGATTATGGGGCTCGTGGCGCAGTCAGCCAGCCTGGCGTGACCTATCAGCGCTATGGGACCCGAGCTCGACAAGAGGAGCGGTGACATTGCCAGCTGGTAGAATCACCAACCCATGGAAGTGGATCAGTTTGGCTCAAGGTGTTACGCAAGCTTCGGCGTCGTGTGTCGCTAACTCCGCGGAGCTTCTTGCAGCTCCTTGCCTGGATTGGAGCAAACTTATCGGTCACACCACATCGGTACCAAGTGATGGTACACGGCCGTGACAAACCTGCGGCAGCCGTGATTCTGGCAAGGACTTCGACCTGGCCTCTCAGCCTGCCCGAAAACTCTCGGGCCCCCGGACGACTTCCAGACCACGCTAGGCACCAAACTCGCAGGCGTGGAGCCTATGTCCGTGCTCCGTCTCTTCCTTCCGTTTCATGCTGCCCTGCCGCACGACTCTCGACTCTGGTCCAATTCTGACTCCTCTTTGCCTTTCTGTCCCATCCTCGTCCTTGTCCTCGTCCTGCTCATTCTCGTGCTCCCTTCGGCCTCACACGGCTGCCCCGCACCTGAGCGGAGATCGCCGATGCGAGGGCAGGGGACCGCCCAGAATCTGGCGGTCGGAGGGGGCTGGCCGTCCCAGGACCAGGCTTCCCTGACAGCTGGCCTGCTCCGCCCCCAGACGCCCGACGTCTGGACTTTTTCATAGAAGGTGGCTGGGTGGATCCCTTTCGGTGGACCGGTTTCTCCCCCAAAGTCGCTCCTTGGGCGTTGCTTACCGGGGGGGGGATAAATGGCGGGGCGAAGAGCATATGCACCTCCCGAGGTCCTATTGGGCCCAGGGAGCAAGCTGCAGGGCCCCTGAGGTGCAAAGAGAATTGCACCTTTCTTACTCCCCCCTCCCCATTGATCGCCCCCCCCCTCCCCGACTCGGCGGCGAGCCCGGGTGGGAAGTGAGAAGGGGCGGGCCTTCTCAGAAGGCTCGGAAATCCCTCAGCCTTCTGAGAAGGTTTCCGAGCAGTCCCCGAAGACGCCGGCACATTCCCAGAAGGCCGGAGGGCTTCGGAGGAGCCCCGCCGCCGAGAGGGCCCTCGCTCGCCGTCGAACTGGCGCAACGCCCGAGCTCCTCGACGG